GGATCCCATCTGGCCCCATAGACTTGTGTGTGTCTAAGTGGTGCAGCAGGTTGCTAACTATTTCCCCTTGGATTGTGGGGTCTTCATTCTGCTCCCTGTCTTCCAGCTCAGGGTGCTGGGTACTTGGAGAACAACTGGTCTTACTGTTAAAGACTGAGGCAAAGAAATACCTCAGCCTTTTCCTCATCCTTTGTCACTGTTTCCCCCTGTATCCATTAAAGGATGGAAATTCTCCCTAGCCCTCCTTTTGTTGCTAATATATTTATAGAAATGTTTTTTACTGTCTTTTATGGCAGTAGCCAGATTAAGTTCTAGGTGGGCTTTGGCCCTTCTAATTCTCTCCCTGCATAACTTCATGACATTTTTGTAGTCCTCCTGGGTTGCCTGCCTCTTCTTCCAAAGGTCATAAACTCTCCTTTTTTCCGCAAGTTCCAGCCAAAGCTCTCTGTTCAGCCAGGCCGGTCTTCTTCCCTGCCGGCTCGTCTTCTGGCACATGGGGACTGCCTGCTCCTGCGCCTTTAAGATTTTCTTCTTGAAGAGCGTCCAGGCTTCCTGGACTCCTTTGCCCTTCAGGACTGCGACCCAAGGGACTCTCTCAACCAATCCTAAACAGGCCAAAGTCTGTCCTCCAGAAGTCCAAGGTAGCAGTTCTGCTGACCCCCTCCTTACTTCTCCAAGAATTGAAAACTTACAATTTCATGATCGCTGTGCCCAAGACAGCCTCTAACCATCACATCACCCACAAGTCCTTCTCTGTTCACAAACAAGAGGTCCAGCGGGGTGCCTTCCCTGGTTGGCTCCCTCACCAGCTGTGTCAGGAAGTCATCTTCCACACAGTCCAGGAACCTCCTGGACTGTTTCCTCTCCGCTGTATTGTATTTCCAGCAGACATTTGGTAAGTTGAAGTCCCCCATGAGAACAAGGGCTAGCGATTGTGAGACTTCTCCCAGCTGCTTACAGAATATTTCATCTGCCTCTTCATCCCCGTTGGGTGGTCTACAACAGACTCCCACCATGATATCTGCCTTGTTGGCCTTCCCTCTGAATCTTACCCCAAACCACTTAACTCTATCATCACCATCATTAAGCTCTAGACAATCAATACATTCCCTAACATACAGGGCTACCCCACTGCCTCTCCTCCAGGCGTTCCTGCTGCTGTCTCATGTAAAGGGCAGCTGCTTCCCACTTCTCCCACCCCCCTCCTTGGGTACAGGCTCTTCCTAAGAGCCTGTATCCATCCATTGCAGCATTCCAGTCACATGCACTGTCCCACCATGTCTGCATGATCCCAGCGAGGCTGTAGCCCTGCAGCTGCACAGACCTCTGATTCCTCCTGTTTGTGCTTATACTGCTTGCGTTACTGTACAACTTCCCATAGGCACCCACTGATTTTCCAGGAAGAGGGCAAAAGCTTCCCCATGAGTCCCCTCACCACTTCCTTATTTGTGTGCATATGGTGCGCTCACCTTTTGTTAATACTTTGTTGTTTCATGTTCTCTTGTCCAAGTGACCCTGTAACCTTCACTTGCCAGCCTGGTCTACCGCTTCCTCACTTGACTGTGGGCGATTATTTCCCTCCTGTTTCTTTCCTGGTTTAAAGCTTTCCCCACCAGATTGCCTCTACAGAAGTTACTTTTGCCTCACTTGGTCATGTGGATGCCATCTCTGCCAGTCAGTCCTCAGAGAGGGTTCTAGCTTTGTAAAAAGCAAATTCCTATTGTCAACATGAGCCGTGCTACTGCACAGTGACCCACAGAATCCATCTACTGCTTCTCAAACCCTTCCTCCTCACCAGCAGGATTGAGGAGAGGACCACCTGGGCCGCCCTTGGCTATCACCCCCAGAGCTATGCAGTTGTTCTTGATACACTCGTAGTTTCCCCTGGCAGTGCTGTTGGTGCCCGCGTGGAAGAGCAGCAGGGGATAGCAGTCTGGGGGCTGGAGAAGTCTCAGCAGTCTCCCCACAACATCCCAGATCTGAGCCCCCAGCAAACCTCGCTAGACAGGCTAGCAAATGGGGACCTCTCTGCCCTGCAGCAGGGAGCTTCCACCTATCACTCACTGTCCTGGTTCCGGCTGGGATAGAGTTAACTGTCTTCCCAGTAGCTGGTACAGTGCTATGTTTTGAGTTCAGTATGCGAAGAATGTTGATAACACTGATGTTTTCAGTTGTTGCTCAGTAGTGTTTAGACTATAGTCAAGGATTTTTCAGCTTCTCATGCCCAGCCAGGGCACAAGAAGTTGGCACAGGACACAGCCAGGGCACCTGACCCAAACTGGCCAACGGTGTATTCCATACCATGGGACATCCCATCTAGTATAGGAACTGGGAAGTGGGGGGCGGGGAATCACCGCTCGGGGACTAGCGGGTGGTGAGCAATTGCCCTGCGCATCATTTGTACATTCCAATCCTTTTATTACTACTGTTGTCATTTTATTAGTGTTACCATTATGAGTTTCTTCTTTTCTGTTCTATTAAACCGTTCTTATCTCAACCCAGGAGTTTTACTTCTTTTTCCCGATTTTCTCCCCCATCCCACTGGATGGGGGGGAGTGAGTGAGCGGCTGCGTGGTGCTTAGTTGCTGGCTGGGGTTAAACCACAACACTCACCCACCTCCTCTGGTGCTGCTGCAGGGTTCCGTCCAGTTCAGCCAACACAGACACTTTATTTCACAGAGCTCCCAGCCCCTTGCCTGCTGCCAGGGCACTGAACCTGGGTGGAGGAAGAGCTCCCTCCTGGTGCCAGAGTTCACAGTCTTCCAGCTTTCATCATCACAGGAATTGCCACCCCAGCAAGCAGGTCCTGGGTTCTTCTGGGTGTTGTGGGGTTCAGGGTTTTGTTTCTGCAGGCTATTAGGAAAGATCTGTCCATCTCTTTCTCATCATCCCTGCTGCTGTGCAGTGTGCAGACCTCCTCTTGTAGCTCCTTGTCCCAGCAGCACTCCTCAGCCAGCATGCACTAGGACACCATTTCCCACCATCAGCTTCAGCGAGAGGCACAGGTTTCCCTGCAACCTGAGAGCTGGAGCACTGCCTTCTCCCTCCACAGCTCAAGCTGAATTGAGGTGTCTGCTGTACTAGAGATAGTTGCAGAAGTTGGTGCTGGAGACTGTGCCCTGTGGTGTGTCACCAGAGCTGACCACAGGCACTGCCCTCTACAGAAATTCCAGCTCCCCACCACATGAGCTGCAACATCTCTTGACTCTTGGGAGCTGTGGTCTCAGCCTGGTGTGACAGTCCCTAATCAGCTGGAGACAAAAGCTCAAAGCACCCTTTGATGAGGAATAGCTGACAGAACTGTTAGTACTTGCTGGAAGTAAAGGCCCCCAGTAGCTACCCTTCCCCAACAGCAGCAGGCACCCTAAAGGTCCTAGAAGGGTTCCCAGAGGTCCTTCTGATCACCTCAGAAGACTGAGAAACAGTCTGGAAGCTGCTGCATCTGTTGGCTGTATTCTCCATCCTTCTGTTAGCCCACTCCCATGTGCCCTCAGACCTCAGCAAAGCCAAACTGACTGTACCAAGCCCGGGCTTTAGTGTGCAGCCATTCCCTGACAGCCCTGAGAACCACAGCCCTAATTTACATGGCAGAGGGGCTGGCAGAGTTGGTGACATGTCCCCTTTAAAGAGGGGGCTTCTGCCGAGGGGACCAACAGCAGCTGCAAGGTCGCCGTTGAATCCTTAATCTCAGCTCTGTCCTGCTTCTCTCCTGCTCCAGCAAGATCTCCCATGTTAAATGGAGTCAGGGCACTGTGTGAGCTGCTGTCTGCTTGGTGTCTTTGCAGCTTCCAAAACATGACACTAGAAATAGTTTTGGTGTAAATAATTTGGGCTGTCAGGGCAGTGGGGAAAGTAATTCACATTTGGCCCTTTCACACTATATCACAAGCAGCAGGAGGGTGCACTGGGGCACACTGTTACCCCCCACCTAGCAAAGATGCTGCCTCTACCACCTGGACTGAGGATGGATAATTGCAGGCTTTAAAAGCTGACTGTTGATTAGTCCATGCTCAAGCTGTTGTGCAATTTGATCCATTTTCAGCTGTGTTCATTTTGTCTTTGTGTTCCTTTCTCGTGGGTACAGGGATTTCTTTTTGCATGTTTTCCATTCGGGTATTTTCAATTACACTTTCCTACAAAGCATGAAGCTTTGTTCAGCTGCAGTCATGGATACTGAAAAGCTAGAAGTTGAGCATCCAGCTCCCACAAGACATGTCTGGAGCACATAGAGCAATCAGTTTTAAACCAAAAACCACTGGCAGAACTTACAGCGAAAGCACAGCTCTTCAGCCTCAACCTTTGCTGCTGTCTTCTCCTGTCAGTTGCAAACATCACCTAGCATCAGGTTCTGATGAGGCAGATGTTACTCAGCACCCTAATTCTTGAGAGAAGAATATCCCTTGGGAAGCATTCTGCAGTGACACACAATGCCTGATCATGGAAATGGTTGCTGAACAGTCCTTTTACTGTCTGACCGTTCAGTGAAAGGTTTTGCTGTCTGGAAGAGTAGAGGAAGCTCTTTCCCAGACGGAGGGGAGTAGGTAGCATCCAGCAGTGTCTTCCCCTCAGTGCAGCTGTAGGCAGACTGGATGCTGTTGCTGAAAACCCTCTCAAAAGCTGTTTGGTGTCACTGTTTTGCAGAATGGAAGCTGACAGAGCAAGATGTTACAGCTGCTTCCACAGCTCCTGAGTATTTGGCAATGGCTCTGCCCTTATTATCCTGGCTCAGGTCCACTGGCCACACAGTTGGCAGTTGTTTCATGCACAGTGGCCTGGGATCATCATTAACAGCGTTTTGTGCAGAATAGCGGAGAACAGGGTCCACTGTGGCTGCTAAAGTGATGTTTCACACTGCTTGGCCTCTAGTTTTAGATGTAGCTAGCTTTCATTCAGCCACCTTCTCCCCTTCTCCCTGCTTCTGGAGCCTGCTGGCAGCAGAAGAGGCTTTTACGTGAGACTGCTGTGACTGTGGGTAACCCCTCCTGCTCTCTCTTTCCTAGTTACCTGTCTGAGGAAGATGTCTTGGATCAAGCAAACCCTTTTGTGCAGCTTGTGAGTGGGGTAGTTTGGCTCCTAAGAGATGGAGAAGTGTACATCAGTCAGAGTCAAATGGCTGAGTGTGGTGAAATTCAAACCACAGGTAAATATTGTAAAGCCTAGCTTCAGCCTGGGTATAGATTGTCCGTCTGATGGGGCTGTTGGAAGGAGGGCGTAGCAGTGGAAACTATATTGTCTAGTTGCAGTTTGCTACTCACTCAAGAGGTCCAAATTTCTTCTGTGCTACTTTACCCCAAGTCTGCGGCAAGCGCAGTACAAGAAGTAGGCTGCCTGCAAGATGAGGCTGCACTCACCTGTTCAAGGTTGTTAAACAGAATTCACTGAGGACTGTAAATAGTGATGGCATGATTGGTGTTAATACTTGTCCAGAGAAACTCAAAGCAGATGCCTCTTACAGGAGTTTTACACTGAGGGCTTCTGAATCCCCTTCTTGGTGCCTGTGCCAGACAAAAACCTTGACATGAGTGCTTCTGGAAATGTTATTCCTAGATGGGCTTGGATGAACAAGAGGAACCTGAGCTCTGTTCTCATTGTGTTTCAATTTAGATGAGCTCCTTGCTGGGAGCTGTTTTGCAGACAGATGTGTCTAAACAGCCAGTTCTGTCACCCAGATGGTGTGTGAATTATTCCCTCTCCTGCACAGGAACCTTTGACAAGTTCATCAATGTGATATCAGCCAGGACCGCAGTTGGACACGACAGTCAGGGGCAGCTGGTCTTGGTTCATGTGGATGGACAGACGGAATCCAGAGGGTAAGGCTAGGGTTGTGGTAAGGTCTTGGGGCAGGTGCAAGATCGGTCTTCAAATTCTGTTGCTGGAACTGGAGGGACTCTGTGGCTGCCAGTAATTTATTTTAAGGCAGAGACTGGCAGAGCTCAAGAGGTTGGTTGAACACACCACTGTTTGGTGTCTTTCTGGCAGAGCCAGAAAAGGCTAAGGCAGCCTCCAGGCAGCAAGTGAGCATACCTGGGGTGGCAGAGCTTCCCCCCTTCCACTGAGGTGAGGGACCAAGCTTCTAGCATAGCAGTTTCTTTGAAGTCAAATAGCATGAATGAGCAATGAACAACTTTGCTTTTGCAGAGTCAACCTCTGGGAAATGGCTGAATTTCTGAAGCATCAGGGAATTGTCAATGCTATCAACCTGGATGGTGGAGGGTCTGCAACGCTGGTCTTAAATGGGACCCTTGCAAGCTATCCGTCTGAGCACTGGTAGGTGCTGGCAGCCGATGTCCAGGGCTGCACAAGTAACCACGCAGTTCCTGTTAGCATGCAGAGCTCAGTCCTACCCTTCTGCTCTGCATTGCTGGGAGATCACAATGTAAAGGCAAGTGACAAATTCCGAGAGAGAGAGTGACTCTAAAATTTAAAGCAATTTAGTGACTACATGTTTTTTCCATTTAGTCATCCAGGATTAAAGTTTAGCTGTTTTCAGACATGCAGCAAAGCTGTTCGACATCACTGAGTGGCCTGATGTGGGAATCAGATAAGGAAACAGCTCTTAGACTTGGAGAGTCAGAGCTGCACATTCACAGGAATTAGCAGAGATCTGTCAACAGCTTTTTATTATGAAAGAGAAACACTGACTTGGAGTCCCTGCCCTGCCTTACATGAAGGAACCTAAAGAATATTTTACTTTAAATTTAGCTTTTTAGTCATTTCTGACTGTAAACATGAAAGGATTTAAAATTCAGTTTGCAGTCTGACAGTTGAAAGGCAGGCGTTGCTATAACTGCAATGACATCACTTATGTCAAAGCAAATAACATTCAAGAAAAGGCATGTTGAATGCCCAAGTTAAGGGAAGCTGGGACTGCTTAAAGGGAGACTTTGCATATTGCTTTCTGTAATTCCATGTTTGAAATGACTCCTATCCATTAGGAGTTAACACTTAGTTAAAACATTGACTCAAATCTAGTTTTATGTTTATATTTCCCCATTATTAATGTTCTTGTTTGCCAGTGTGAATCAGGATGAAAATTTGTGCATTAGATCAACTGGTTTCACGTAGGGCTGGGAGCAGCACAGTGCTTGCACGTCTTATGGGACCCGTCTTCTGTCCCCAGCTCCTTTGACAACATGTGGCGTTGCCCTCGGAGCATCTCGACCATAATGTGTATCCACGAGCCTGCCTGCGAACCTGCAGACTGCAGCGGACACGGGAACTGCGTGGAAGGGGAGTGCCACTGCACTGAGGACTTCTGGAGAGGTCCAGCCTGTGACATCTTGGACTGTGGCCCTTCCAACTGCAGCCTGCACGGCATCTGCACCGACTGTAAGTCACTGTGGTGTGCAAAGGCTTCTAACATGGAGATGCCAGTGGGTGCCCCTGGGTAGCACTAGGGGAAGCACAGACCCGGGCAGTGTATACATGGGGAATATCACTTACCTGCCTGCAAGGCACCTCAGCGCATTGCTGTGTGCAGTCCTGGCTGGTTCACAAAGTCCATTCCCACTCTGGTGTGAAGGAGTGCAGCTCACATGAACTGGCACCAGCAGTAGCCGCTTCCTTCGCTGCAGAGAGCAGCACCCTTTGGTGAGGCTCCCCGGGCCCAGGAGCCCAGCCTTTTAGGGCTGCCGGTGCTGATTGTCTGGCCAGCCCACGCCCTGACTCTGGAAGCCAGCAGGTGCTGTGTGCCTTGGCCCTTGTCTTACCTTCTGGGTGTATGGAACTGCTCGCCTCTTTCCCTCCAGCATCTGAAGCAGCAGCAGAGATGGTCAGAACATGTTGCCTTTAGGAGACAGCAGCAGGGCCAGGCTGGGACTCAGATCTGGAAACTGGACCTGTAAATAGGACTTGACTTCAAACTCTACGTCTCAGTTTCTCTTTCTGGCCCCTGGGGCTGTGCTCCCGGTTTGTTTGAAAATCTGCTGATGGGAAGGGCAGTGTATTATGCTGTGTGACAGAGCAGCTGAGTTCTGCCCCCTTCCCTTAATGTTCCTTCTTTACTTGACTCTCCTGCTTCATGATTTTTACAAGTATGCAGTTGCTACTCTTCCATAAACTCATTTTGCATCTAGGGACTGCCATAATATACACCATGCAACTTCTGCTCCTCTGTGCCTGCTCAATCCTGTTGCCCTGTTTCTGTGCTACCTCCCTGATTCAACTCACAGTCAGGTTTGCACCAGTGAAGTGGCTGGACAGAGCTCAGTGGATGCAGCTGCTGCTGATAGTTCACTCAGAGTTAATCTCTTGAGTCCCATCAGCAGGGGCTTCTGCTGTGTTTGGCAGCTGTAGGGGGTGCATATTTAAACCTCACCTGTGTGTGAGTTCAGGATTCCTCTTCTGTGGGTTTCCTGGCAGGGAGAGTTAAGAGAGCACCCCAAGAAGCAGAAGCTCCTAATTTTGAGTTCCTGCTATTTCTAAGTCTTTCTCTACTCTTAATGCTTGTTCATGTGTGTTTGCACAGCTGGATGCCGGTGTGATGCTGGCTGGATTGGCACCAACTGCAGTGAAGGTAAGGCTGACCTCCACTCCGCTCCACTTCTTCATAGCCAGCAAGAGGGTAATGTGAACCACTTCCTAATGGCTGGCAGCCTGCAGTGGTGGGTGGCTCTCCAAGAGGGAGCAGTGAAGGGAAAGGCTACACGGTGCTTTCCTTTTTGTCAGTGTGAGGTTAGTCGGAGCCTGGGCATCTTAAGATTGGCTTGGTGCGAAGCACTTTAAGCCCTTGCTCCTTATTCTGCTTCTGTTCTCTGAGCAGCTGTCAGCTCCCTGTGCCAGTGAATACTCCAGGGGTATAAGCATGGGGTGGGATTGCTTGCCTTTGTAGTGAGGGCCCTGACGAGATCTCTGCTTGTCTCCTGCAGCTTGTGCTAGTGGTTTCTATGGGGATGCTTGCACCCAGAAATGCCAGTGCCAGAATGGTGGCTCATGTGACCCTGTGTATGGAGCCTGTTCCTGCCCGGCTGGGTACTATGGCACCAGCTGTGAGCAAGGTAAGGGCTGCTCTGAATAATGGCCTGGGGAGAGGCTTTTGTGTCACATCTGGGCCACCTCTTGTGGGCAAAGCAAGCACGAAGTCTGCCGGGCAGGCTCAGGCCTGAACTTCACAGCTGGAGTGTAACCTGCCAGCTCCCAGCTCTTAAGGGCTTGCCTGTCCTAGCCAAACTGGCTAAAAAGAAAAGGAAGGAGCAGAGAGGAAAGGGTTTTCTTCATCATTAGAAAATTGTGGATGCCTGTTTAGTCTCTGCCCCAAAGAACTGGGCTGCTTTCCCAAGCTCGTGAGTGCAGAACATGAGTACTTGAAGATCCTTCACTTGAGGGTGTCACGCAAGGCCCTGCCTGCAGCCCAGGCTTCAGGTGGTCCGGGTCAGTGAGCGTGAAATGCTCCAAAGGGCCATTCTGGCTTACGACCTTCGAACTCAGGCTGTACACATGCTAGTGCTAACAGAGCTAGGGATGTTCTTGATTGTGTAACCGCTCCAGCTTTTCTGAAGTGCTCAAGGCCCCCCCCCGCCGTGTACCTGACTGAACAGCGTGCTCTGGTGACAGGACAAGTTAATTACAGCGTGGGTGTAAACTTCTGGTGTGCATGGTTTGTTCTCAGCCGAGGAACACCCAGCCAGCCTGATCCCTATTTTACAAAAGCTTCTCTGTGAAGTAAACAAAATAATAGCAGGGTGGGCAGGCAGAACAGCTTTGTCAGGCTGCAGGAAAGCTGGGGACCTGACTGCTTCCCTTTAGGAATTGGCCACTGCTGCCCCCCCCTCCACCTTTGCTTATGAGCCCAAGCCCCAGGACCGTAGCTCAGATGTGGCAGGAAGAAAAATACATTGGAAGCAACAAGGCCAGAGACTGCTGTGGTGACAGAAGCAACACAAATACCTCAGTGAGATGTAGGTGAGGTTTGAGCCTTTCCTAAAGCTCTGAGTGTGCCCATCCTTCCTGGCACTGAGCTGGTGCAGCTGGGGAAGCAGGCACGGTTGAGCTGGGGGCAGGGGGGAGCTGCAGTCATAGGCTGGATGGTTTCAAAGCAGGTGGAGCTTTGACAATGACCGACTTCTTTGTAATCAATTCCCTAGAGTGTCCCATGGGCTGGTATGGGCCAAACTGCCAGAAACGATGTGCATGTGAACACATGTGTCCCTGCGACCGGGAGACAGGCAGCTGCAATGTCACCTATGAATTGGCAGTACAGGACCAGTTAAACAAAGGTATCTCTGGTTACAGTGGTCGTGTCTTAAAAAAAAGTTAGAAGAGCAGCTTTAGTGCATAATGTTGTATTTGCTTAGTTACCAGCTCTGGCTGGCTGTCATCTTACCTAAGCTTGCTCTTTTTTTAGTGGAATTTTACACCGTCCCCCAATACTACCTTTCTTCCCACTATTCTTTGTTTTCCAGCTGGGCGGTGTTTGGCTTCCCAGAATAAGGGAAGGAGCAAAGAAAAATTCTCTTTGTCAGAGTAAGTGTGTAATACTCGTCATATATACATCTATATGTACACACTGAGTCCATGCCATCAATTGCTTACTGTGAGATGGAGTTGTTCACACCACCTCCTGGGTGGCAGGGCCATGTGTCAGTGAAGCTTAGAGACCTGCTGCTTCATTGCCCAAAGCATCTGTGTTCTGACTTCGTTGTATCACCTACAGCACTTATGACAGGAAAGATGAGGATAGGGAAGGCACGATTAAGCGTTTAGCACCTTAAGACAAGTGCTGAGCTGAAGCCCCCACCAGTGACAGTTGATGCTCTGAGCCTGGTGCTCTGCAGCTCACAGTTGAACGAGAGCCACCTTTCCTCTCCCACTGATGCACTGTATAGGCAACAAACAGATGAGGGCAGTTCTGATACCAGAGCATGGCTTCTGGGGTGTTGGCAAAGCTACAGTCACTCTGCAGGCACAGCTGGTCACTTGTTAACTGAGTGGAAAGCTAAAAACAGCCATGTGCTCTGGCTGCCGGAGCAGCCTTTCAAAGGCTTTCACAGAGCATGTTCTTACCGCAAGCTTGTGATGTCAGAGAAGGGAGTACAAACTTTGAGAAATAATTTGCACGCTGGGAGCATGTGAAAGCAGGTCAAGAGATGTTGCTTATGTGGATTTTGCTTCTGTCTGACAGAAAAACCTGGATCTTCATGACCTCTGTCTTGGCTCTGCTTCTGGTAATTAGCACCATGGGAAACATAGGCCTTTTTCTCAAGGCCAGGTCAGAGAGGTGCCATGAGAGTGGTAACTATCTCTACCACCCCCTGAGGGAGATGAATGGGGAAGCCAGTCACACCTCCACATCTGCTGCCTGCAAGACAGAAGATACTCAGGACCAAAGCCAGGCACTCCTGTAGAGTCCCAGATGAGAAGAGATGAGGTATTTCACTCTGCCCCTTGTACTGCCACTCAGCACTGACTGTTACCGAGGCTATTCAGACTGGAGTATAAAACTGCTGACTAACCCGAGAGCAGCAGCAAGATCCCTCAGTCCAAGAAACTGCCTTGCTTCTGGCCCAGCCCTGCTGAGAACATGGCTAGCTTCCCTGCCTTCCCCTGCTGCCCTAGCTGGAGCAAACAGGACTGCATAATTAGTTGCCATGAGAGGATGCAGGGCACAAGCCATGGGGCCAGCTTCCACATACATGGAATGGGATAAGGGGATTCCTTTGCTCTAGCAGGAGAGGAAGTGGGTGGTTCCCTCCAATACTTGAGGGAAACAGGTGAGAAATGTAAGCTGTAGGCACTTCAGAAAGGTCCCTTCTCACCTGAGCAGTAGTAAGTATTTTTAAGATGCAAGATAAATTGCCCCTAGCATAAAGCTAGGCTTAAGGATGGTGTAGTCTATACCTGTCTGCCCTTCCCTGGTAAGCTCAGACTTTTATCAGAAAACTGAAAAAAAAAGTTGGTTTAAAATCTTGAAACAGGTGCAGTACACAATAAAACCACAGCATTCCTCCTCCTGGCCCCAGTGGTAGGCTCAAAGGCTAACACACAGGGTTGGGGCTTTCTTGCACCTGACCTGTGTTGACTGGAGGGCCAGAGTGTTTTCTTACCAAATACTTATTCCTAGAAGTAGTCGAAAAGGTGCATGATAAGCACTGCATTTTTGGTAGGTTCTTACAGTACAGCAACATAAAGAGCCTTGTCAGTTCAAAAATTTCATTCTTGCATTCTCTCATATCTCCCAGAAGCTGGTGTGCTCTGCTCAGCTGTGTGGGCTGCCACTGAGGGACCGCAGCCTGGAGCTCTCCCACTTGGGGAAGGGAAGAGAAGAGACAGCAGCAGCCTGGCATGGTCAGCACAACAGGACCAAGTCATGGGACTGAGCTCACCCTACCCCAGCCTGATCAGCCCAGCAGGACAGTCCATGTGGTGGCCCTTGCTCACTGCTGCTAGAACTGCCCTTCCCTTGTCAGAGGGAACACCCACCAGCAGTGAGCTGGGGCTTCCATGAGGAAGAGCTTCAGGCAGCCCAAGATCCTGAACATCTCAGCTGGAAATCTGACCTTTTACTAGAACACATCCTTGCACAATGCATTTAAAAAAAAAAAGTGAGTTTGCTTCCACGTGAGGGAAAACTAGCCTCTAATGTGCTACTCTAATGCTGTAAAGGGGGGTTTTAAAGCCTGTCTGAGCCTGAATATTAACATTTTTATGCACTCTGGTTTTACCTCTCCAAGGATATGTAATTTTTTGTGCCACTGTTGGCATCAAATCAATCTGTAAAGAGAAGATTCTATTTTTCTACTATTTACAGAAGGCTATTTGAAACTTGAATAAAGTCTTTTAGTGATAACTGCCTGAAACTCAAATTCTTAATATGCAGTTGTAGAATAAAGATGCAATCCTTTTCCAGTTAATCTCAACTGGCCATTTGAACGCAGTGGGCCTTCTTTATTTTAAATAACCAATTACACTACAGGATAATGTGTTGTACCAGCCTTCTCTGTGGTACGAAAACAAAAAATGCTGGTTCTACAGGAGAAAATTAAAGAATATTTTAGTTAAAAAGTAGGAATAACTGAATACAAGCAAGCTTTACCTCCATTTCTGTGGGTAAAGACAGCAGCACATGTGATTAAATTTTCAGTTTACCACAATTTGAACAGTTGCATGAAACAATTAGACATGTTCTTTAGAGATTTTTTTATTTCCAACATACAGAAATGTACAGCTCTTACCAGAACCTACAAATACTGTAAATAAGTACATTTGTTGTCAAGTAACACACTACAAAGCACTCTGCATTTTGCTAGTGTGCTTTTAAAGAATGTTTGGGGTCTTTTGGCTGAGAAAAATCAGGACTTCAATATGTAAAAAATGAAGACAGCTGCAAGGGAGAGAAAGTAAGTGCTTGCTAAAAAAAATTAATGCCCATTTAACTTATATACATAACTAATAGCTTAGAAGTAGGTGCTGATGTCATTAAAAGCTAATGCATGTCACATGATTCCAATTTAGCCTTCCAAGAGAGAAATAATCAGGTATAAGAATCATCACAAACATGTTGGAAGAATATTAAAGCTAATAGCATGCAGGAATCTTTGACAAATGCTTGTCAACTTTAGTCCTTAAGAGTCTAATAGCTCTGTTTCTTGCATTATTTGGCTCACAGGATAAACATTACAGGTATTAAAGAAGTGTGAGCTAGTAAAATGCATTTTGAAATAAGGGATTCCTCTGACTCTAGTACAACTGGCCTTAGCTACTGCATCAATACATAGCAGCTTCACACCTGAGTTGAGTGGGCAGCTGGGCTCACCCCTTCCCAATAGCAATTCTGAGTTGCAGTAAGCATTACAGATTTAAGATGACTGGATTATGGCATTTTCAAAATTTTTTGATGGATAAACCAAATTGGGATTAGAAATTCTTATTAAAAGTTGTTTTTTTTTTTTTAAACCTGTTGCTGAAAGGGGATTGATATAACCAAACTGGCCAACCATAAGACTGAAGCAAATGAGGCAGCATCAAACTCCACAGCACACCCATCTACACAGCCAAAGTGACTACAGTTGCTCAGAATTTCCTCACATAACAACAACCAGGATCACTCGTCCCCCAACAGCAAGTACAGGAAGCTGAGAAACAGCCAAGACAGCTCTCAGTGCCTCCCTGCTGAGAGTGCATTAGAGTGCCAGTTTCCAGCTTAACCCATGGCACATGGAAGTGGTAAAGCAGCCAGCACTGCTGCTTTTTGCACCTTCCTGGGCTAGAGCCCCCCCTCGGTCCCTCCACAAGGCTAAGCTCTTCTGTCCACAGCAGTTAAAAAAGCCCTTTTCAAAGCTGAAAGGTGGCAAGATGTTTAGCCCAAATGACTCAGGTGCTACATTCCAGCTTTACCCCGAGTCTAGTCTGACATTCACCTTAAGTGCGTGCCCACTGGTGACATGCTCCATATTTGCCTTTCCCCATCCTACTGGGACAGAAGCCAGTAAACAGCAGGATGGGGCAAACCTGTAGAAATTACTAAGAATAAAGCTTTCACATGTGGCCATATTTAATTGTAAACAATGGCACAACACTTTGTACCTACAGCATAGCATCCTTGCTCTTGAGGTCTCATATCCCACATTAAACATGGCAACAGCTCTTTGAGGTAGGTATTGTGTTTTGCATATGGAGTATTTGAAACAGGGGAAAGCCCCAATCTACTGAGGAGCTATTGTTTAAAGTACCCAGCTAGTTACCTGAACGCAGCCTGAGCTCACTGACTTCACTGAGGAGCGGCTCCCAGGATATTGCTGGGGAGCAGGGAGGGCCTTGCTGCATCACTAGCTCAGCACCCAAAACTGGAGTCTGTTTTTCAAGGTTCTGGCTTAAGAGACTTTTGAGAGATGAGTGGCTCGCAGGGACCCAGAATCCAGAACTCCTCCCAGTCTCAACTCACAAGAGGCTGCTGTGAAGGCAACTGCATGTTTTATTTTCTAAAATGTGCCAATGTCATTTAGGGGGGGAAAAGGTGTTTTAGAAGTATTCTGCTTCTCTTGTATCTGCAGTTCACAAAGTCAGGTTTAAAAAGCACAGCACAACATCAGCCACAAGATCCAGGCTACTGCCCCCTTTCTCCTGTTATGTTAACATTCAGGAAAAAAAGGGGGGGGGGAACCCCTATATTGCATTATTTAAATTGGTAGCAAAGTAAATTTGTAGGTGGAATAACCCAGGCAGTTCTGCTTAAAATTGACAAGAGAGAGATCACAAAATGCTTCCCAAACAGATGTGTGCAGCAGTGTCTTGTGGGGCAGGAGAGCAGTACTACCAAGGAACAAGAGGAAAAAAAACTGTGGTTGTGATATCCCTGGAGCCAGCTGGAGGAAGTGCTCCATAGGACCAGCCCTTCATCTCTTCCTGGCTGATTCGGAGACCTGCCAGGGGTGCCAGGTTCCAGGTGCCTCACTGACAAGAGTTAAACACCCAAAATTGTTACTGGTGGGAGGAGAACAGCATATGCCATATTTGAAAAAAAAAAAAAAAATCCAGTGCAATGGAGGAGATTCTTAACCAGAGCAAACCAAGGGAATCACAGGAAACACGAATGTTACCACTATGGGACATGACCAACCATGTAAGAATCAAGCCACAAGAAGCTGAAATCCTCAAAGAGCACAGGGAGGACAAGGCTGGGTCTTCTCCTGACGCTTTAGGAGTCAGTTTGAAACTCTGTTTCTGGCGTGATGGAGGTTTAGGCATCACGAGACTCTCAAGATTTGATCCCCAGTATACAAGCTCAAAGACTGCATAGGATTGTGCAGTCCTCAGATGAAGTAATAAGATCAATAGTAAAACAAGAAGGGATTGAAAAAGAATTTGAAAAACTATGGGTAACAGCTGGTATTTTATTCTTGTCACTTCCATCTATTGGGGACCCAAGTGCTATTAGGGTAACATCTAAGGAAGCAGGTGAAGAGGAACCAGCTTCAGAATGGGAGCTATCAGCCCCCCAAATTATTTTTCCTAAACCATGTGACTAGCAAAACCAGAAATTTATAAATTGGACCAAGTTGCAGTCCCAGGGCTGAGGTATTACCAACTTTGAGAAAGATAAAATTAGTAACAATTAGATTGAACAATATAGGGGTATCCCTCACAGAAAACTCCTCACTGCACTACAGTTAAGAGCTAATGTGTATCCCACCAGGGAATTCCTGGCAAGAGGGAGACAGGAATCGCAAATAAAATCCTGTTGACACTGTAAAGCGGAAAATGAAACGTGTGCTTATATCATTGGGTATTGCTCCACACTACAAGATGCTAGCATCAAAAGACATAATCAGTTATGTGAAATATCGATAACTGAAGCCAAAAAGGACTGGATTGCATTCCAGGAGCCTATATTAAAAGATGAACAAAATGAAATATATATAAGCCTGATCTGGTATTCGTAAAGGGAGATCAGGCAATAGCTATTGATGTGACAATTCGATGTGAAAGTAAATTGACATCATTGTCAGACATGGTAGCAGAAAAGATAAAGACATATTGCCATCTTAAAGACCAAATTCAAGAACTAACGAATGCCAAAAATACTAAATTTAAGGGATTCCCTGTGGGTGTGCGAGGAAAATGGTATTCTGGCAATTACAAAGTGTTAAAAGCATTGGGAATCTCAAGTTCCCGGCAAGAAAAGATGCATGTTCTATATCAAAGAAAGCATTATTTACGTCTGTTGATTTTATATATATTTTTGCAAGTCAATCGAGAACTGCTGTAAGAACTTAAGTATTTGATTGTTATCATTCCGCTGTATTGCTGTTTTGCTGTATTGCCATTTATTTCTTTAATAAAGTTACCCCTACCCTGCCTGCTACATCATCAGAGGTATTGCTAACTTGACTCACAATGTTTAGAGATAGGGAAGTCCCTGGGTAAAATCTTGGAAGGATCAACCTTGGCACTGGAAAGGTTGGGAGAGTAATAAGGAACTTGTGGTCATGTCACATCACTTACTCTAAATTTGGACAAAAGATCAATTGGAAATGTCAACATTTTACTAATTTGGAATATCATTACCGATTTTGACATAGGTGGACAGGCCACCTTTACTTAACTTGGAAAAGAAACATGTATAATTTATATGTGTTTGTGTGGCAGGTACACACACCCCCCCCGCCCCAACAGGAAACAAAACTTCTCCAGGCAGGGAGAGGAAAAAAACCCCAAACCCTAGAGGCAGCAGGTTGAAAATTGACCTGAAACTGACCAATCGAGATATGCCAGGTACATTGAGGTGTTGACCTTTTGGCCAATAGGGAGTAAAATGACCACAGGTCAGATTCAACAAGGGTATAAACAGGGTCCTGCCACAGGGCATTTTGAATCAGTTCTCCTCAGAGCAGCAGGTCTGCAGTTGGGGACTCCCCCTTGGGTTGGGACACTGCCCTAGGTAACTCCTGCAGGTTGAGAGCCCTCATCTTTTAGGTGAGTGATATGTGCATCTTGAGTCATCATTTTAAATCTTAAGAATTCTTAAGTCAGCTGTGTAGTACCGATTCCCCTTACGTCATTGAACCTGTGGTTCACAAATGTTATCAGAGTTCTAACTAACTTTTTACTGAATAATAAATCTGAGTTTTAACACCTGTTGGATTTGACTGTGTGAGCCTCAGTA